TCATTATTCAGTAATTTCAGATGTACTACATGTAAATTAGGTAAAAGTTCTTTCACTGCATGAACATTGCAAATAATTTCAAATAATTTAATTAGTACAATCAAATATACTCTTTTACACATGTACATCAGGTATAAGTTCATTATTCAGTAAACATGTACATGTCATGTACTATCTATAAAATATGTAGGCTTATAAAACAGCCAACTTGTAAGAATTGTTTCCTAACAAAATCAATTCATAAGCAATATAAATTTAATGTGTAGGCAATATTTGATGTAAATTGTGAAATGGAAGGACAATTATATTTTTATACCAACTACTTATATAATGGAACAAATAAAATGGGCGGGATTATTTTAAAAATATATACGATTATATACTATACAAAATAAATCTACAAACATTTTATACGAATAAGCTAAACTTCAGTGCATGCAAAATACATACCCTTATTTCCTGTAATACACCATCATAATGTAACATATTTGCCAATTATCATATATATCTAAGTATGTTTAAAGCTATTTTATACTTATATATCTCCTTTAATTAGTTTGAAATGTGAATTTAATCCATATCAACCTGTCAAATGTGATAAATAAATATTTGCCCCTATTTTATTGAAATTATTCCCCTTACTACATGTACTGAAATTATTGTCAATATTTTGTTGAAATTATTGCCCCAGTAGTTTGCTGAAATTTATAGCCCCTAGTTTGCTGAATTATTCCCCCTGTTTTGCTGAAATTATTCCCCCTATTGCAAAGAAATTATTACACCTTTTTTACTAAATTATTGCCTGATTTAACTGAAATTATTGCCCCATTTTACTGAAATTGTTGCCCCTATTTTATTGAAATTTTTGCCCCTTTTTTACTGCAATTATTGCCCCTGTTTTGCTGAAAATATTACCCCTATTTTACTGAAATTATTGCCCCTTTTTTGTTGAAATTTGAAATATTCTAATTCATGAAGATATCCTGATTATAGCTAAAAGTTACATTTTCTATCCCAAAATTTTGCTTAAAAAGACATGAGTTTATACATTTTGACTACAATCATGTTTCTATTCATAGTAACATTCATCCAAATCTTATCAAAATCACAGGGACCCAGCACAGTGTTTGGATAGTGTAAAAAAGTAATTCTAGAAAAAAAATATATACTGTATATATAATATATAGTCTATATATTATATATATACAGTATATATTTATTCTAGAATTACTTTTTTACACTATCCCAACACTGTGCTGGGTCCCTGTGATCAAAATTTGTTTAACATTTAATGATATACTCCAATCAAATTTTAATTATAGTTAACTGTTTTACATATAATATATATGTATATATAATTTGTACAATGTTCCATTGACTTAAGATTGAAATGGAACATGCTGTTACCATTCTTTAATAATCAAGGAGAAATATAAGCATAAACAACAGTAATGATATCATGTTCTATTTATAGATTCTATCTATTATATTAGAATAATTATTATGCCACAGCAATAGAAAACCACTCATATATATGTATCAAAGTCTATGATTGGTTAATTATCAGACACATCAAACGTTATTTATAGTTATTATCTGGTTAGAAGAAGCATCTTAAAATATATGAGCCGCATCACGACAAAACCAACATAGTGCGTTTGCGACCAACATGGATCCAGACCAGACTGCGCATCTGCGCAGTCTGATCAGGATCCATGCAGTTCGCTATCAGTTTCTCTACCTGTTATAGGGTTTGTAAGCAAACACCATGGATCCTGATCAGACTGCGCGGATGCGCAGGCTGGTCTGGATCCATGCTGGTGGCAAACGCACTATGTTGGTTTTGTCATGATGCGGCTCAATTATTTAATTTTGTAAATCTATAGATAACAGGGTAACTACAGAAGTATCTTGATCTGTGGAACTTGTATTTCTGTATGGGTGAATTTTACTTGATTTTGGTACAAAATGTGGAAACATGAAATGTGACCCAAATCCCATTGTCATTTGTCAAGGTACTTTCATAATGACCCTTTTATAATAATGACTGCATTCTGACATTTTCACTTTAGTATATGCAATTCAACAGTAAATCAATGTGAGTATTAATAAAAGTTTAGTTCCAGTTATCTCATAACGGACTATCTACTGAGTTTCATAATTTTGCATGTTACATAATAAACAATATTCATTACATACTTGACATTTCATTACAAATAAAATGTTTGTCAAATTGGGGAAAAGTAGAATTATTTTAAATTCATATATTAGACTAGAATTCAGTTAACAGGACAAAAAAGTCCTAGGTATCTTACAATAGACACATTACAGGACTTTTGAATTTGACCTTAGTGACCTTGACCTTCTAGCTGATGACCTTGGTGTTTTGCAATGACACATTGTTTTATGGTGGTAAATTAAGTTCTGCCAAGTAAATATCTCAAATTCACTATTAAGGAATGAACATTTTATAGGGATTTTATTGACACAAATAATACACATACAAAAATGAACACAGACAAGGTAAGCTTATAATTATGTCATCAAGTTGGGAGCATAAACATACAGGTACTGTACATAGTAATCCTTCACTACAATTATAATGAACCAGTACAATGACTCAAAGAGGGAAACATAATAATAAATGTTTTCAAACTGGATGAGGTATGGAGCAAATGTTAAGTCAGACAGTTTGCAATTTAAGTACAGAACTGGTGGTCAATAGTTAATCTATCTAAGTACATCCGGTGAATGTTAAAACACTTCAATAATCTAGTAGTTTTATTATAAAACTATCATGATGACTTCCTATTCAAAAATTACATATCTTACTATTATGTTAGTAAAAGTGTTATTTCTGTCTGCTTTCTGATTGTTTTTGGAGAGTATGAATTTGTAACTCGGTTATTAGGGTATGAGGTATTTGACAACAAGACAATATGCTATTTTCTTTCAAGATGCATGCTCCCAGATACCCCCCCACCCCCCGGATAAGTTAACAAAGCTTTTTAACAAAAGCATGGCATGCCGTGTTAACGCTCATCTGTTAAGGTTAAAAACTGACAATTACAAATTTTTATAAAGGGTTAAAAAAAAAAATACCCAAACTCCTAAAAATATTGCTTTCAGGATAATATTCTTTGTCTTCCAACTGTGTCATGTATTCCAAGTTTAATGTTGATAAAGGGGCGTAATTCCCAAAATAAAGCTTCAATAGTAATGCCCCTTGTCTTATGTGCTTTGTCATGATAATCAGCTATTCCATGTTCAATGTTTATCTTCTTTCATTAATCATTCTAGAAAATAATAGGCAATTTAATGTGACAAGAAAGTTTAAAAGGGGCATAACTTTACAGCTTTCTGAATAGTGTCCCTTTTCTTACTGTGGCATCTAGTCATGGTAAAGAAAGTATTTTGTAAGTTCTGTGTTGGTATTTTTTTTAAATATTTGTAAAATGTACTTATAACATAAAATTCCTTGCATGACAACAACGAAGAAGGCAACAAAACAATTGTTAAAAGTTTTCTTTCTTTAAAAATCTATTAGCGTTAAAATTTAGCTCATTTTCCCAACTTTCTACAGAAGAGTATTTGGTATTTTAAAGAAAGAACTGCTTTGAAATGTTCCCAATAAATGTACATGAAATTAACACTTATATAATATCATGATACTGTATTATACAAATACAAAATAGGCAAGAAACAACATCAACTAACACTGACATGACAACATAGAATTGATTTGATAAAAAAACCCTTAGCTTAATCAGTTAATGCCTGATTAGAGCTTATCTGACCCAAAAAAAACCAAATGTCTAATTTTAGAGCCTATCTAACAAGAAAATAGCTAATTGTCAATTAAAAAGTCAATTACCTCAACTCAACACACTGTTATTTTAATGACTTTGTTATTTTGCATAAGAATCCAGGATCGTTAATCTTACCTGACGATTTTCTTTCTGGAGGTGCCAAAAATATCATATTTAATTTACAGAGCTGGTTTATCTTAGAACTCATTTATATATCAGCCGCGTCACGACAAAACCAACATAAAGCGTTTGCTACCAGCATGAATCCAGACCAGCCTGCGCATGCATCCACACAGTCTGATCAGAATCCATGCCGTTCGCTATCAGATTTCTATCTTGTTATAAGGTTTGTAAGCGGACAGCATGAGGAATGCACTATGTTGGTTTTGTCATGGCCCGGGTCATATTAGTCTGATTAATGTACCTGCTTTCATATGATATAAAAATCATGAAGTTTTTAAGTTTTTTGTTTTACCTAAATCATTTTTGTATGTATTTTTTTTTTCACTGGACTTGACACTTACACTGTACAGGACATATAATGACTTTCCAGGTTTACTGGTGGAGGAAAACCTAAGACACCTTTGTGAGCATTATTTCAAACACATACGGGCACCTGAGTAGAACCACCAACCTTCTGTAAGCATGACCAATGAAAGATTCCTTATGGAATTCATACCCACAGCAGTGAAGAACAAGTGATTTGAAGTTGGCAACCTTAATTAAGCACTTGGCAATAGAGGCCCCTGTCATCATGTTGTGGAATAAATGTTTACCTAATATCCCACTTATGTTACCAAGACAAGAGATATTCCTTACATATTTGTATAATGTAGAAATATTAATGAATAATTATTTCTGAAACAAAAGGTAAATAATAGTAAAATTTTGGTCATGTTTAATTTTGGTCTCATATAAAATTTGATTTTTCTATAGTAACTCCAGGAGAAAGAGACAAAAAGGGTCTGATAAACTTTTTTAAGCTAAATTCATTTCAAATTTTCAACCAATCTTAAAACATTTGATGATTTAAATTTTTCAAAGAAAAAAATGTTCTTTATACACTCCAAACTCTGGGTTTTTTTTTTGCTAGCTCAAGCCAATGCAAAACATAAATAAACACCACAACAACAAACGCTACAGGAAAATCTTGATTTTAAAACATTGATATTTTTTTTATGTAGCTGGTACCTTGGTTTGCTCATCAATATCTATATTGGACAATAGGGAACTCCACTGGTGCCAGGAACCATACTGTCTCTTTATATACACATGGTCATAGATGAGGCCCCGCTTGGGAATCAGCAAACCTCGGGAAAGCTTTAACTCCTTAGGTCTGAAATCAAGCAGAAACTTGTAATTAAGGTATTGCCATATTGTGTAATTCTCAGCAAAAAAGTATGATATAAATATATCATTGTATCAAACATTAGAATCATTATTTTCATATCTACTTTAACAGAAAATTTCATATACTTAGTATTTCTCTATACAATGGATACATATATTAAATAAGAAATTTACAACTCTGCTCCTGTAACTTTAAATGTACATGTCATTTACATTTTTTTTTTAAAAATAATTATAAATTTATAAATACATGACTTTAATATTATCAACAATTAAATAAATTTGATTACATGTGTATTACATGTGTATTTGCCTATTTGGCTATGTTACAACTCTTAAGCAATTAAAAAATAAAAGTCGTACCATTTCAATAAAGCATCATCAAAATTTTACTAATTACAATAAATCTAGCCTACGGGTTACCTGATAACACTGAATTTCATCTCAAATAAATTATATTCAAATACCACAATTTGAGAATAATTCTTTTACATAATCAAACTCTGACAAAATTATTATGATACCATAAATTATAATACCATTCAACTCAAAACTTACAGAAGTGACAACATGTAGATCTACTTATTTTTCCAAAATCTTAACCCTTGATGGGAATTTTGTGTAATTTTGTAACATTTTCTCAATTCTGCTTTGACTTTGGATATCTCCAGTTGTATTTTGTGGGAAATTTATTTACCAAAAAAATTGGTAAATTAAGCAAGGGCAACAGGATATTTACAAACCTGTAATTGATCCCAACTAATTGGTCTTGCCAGGCTGGCCCTTTGCCTCCATTATTATACTTGGTGTTCTCAAAAAATGTTTTGCATTCAAAATGTGTTTTGTTTGGTTATTTTTAAAACATACAAAAATTAAAAATTGCATGATAATATTCCTTGTTAATTAACAATAAATAGAAAATCACTTGTCTATCTTCAAAAATTGGGTTATAACTTTGTCATTTCTTTGGGGGAAAATTTTTCCGAATAATAACTGACTTGAAAAGCCAAAACAGTGCAGACTTATAAATGATCAGATGGCAAGGGGATGTGCTCATGGGTTCAACCATGATGTGGGTATCAGTTGGCTTGCCAGTTGACTAATGGTTAATTAATGAGTGCATGTTAAGGTATATATTTCTATAAACCATGATGGACTTATAAATATAAACTAATACTTATAGTTAAGTGTAAAATTTACAGCATTGTTTTCCTACATGTTAACTATATACACAGTCATCTATTATCATAAAATACAAATACATCAAATTTTGCAACACAATTTTAACTTAACATAACAAAATTAACTTAAATTTAAATATATTACAAACATGCAAAAAGTTACTTAAGGCATTTAATGCTAGACAATAACAGTGCAATTATGGAGTACAAAATAATTACAGCTAAAATATCATTCTTTCTTTCTAGATCAAAAGTTTCACTTAAATTTAGATTATAATTTCTTGAATAAAGTTCATTTAATGAAAGTATAGAAACAGACATAACAAATAAAATCAACAATTTTTAAAGACACAAGAAAATTTAAACATGTTATCAAAGTAAAAGAATGATTTTTGCAGTATTTAATTCATTATTATTCATAATTGGTTGATATATTTCCATCATTTCAAAAAAATAATACTTATCTTTTCCCATAAAAATTCTGTATCTATTTACCATGAAAATAAGCAAAATTAACATAACTTTAATTTTTATTGAAATTCATAAATAATATTTGATACCGGTATATATCAGAAATAATGATTTCTAAAACATTCTGTGAAAATTAAAGTTTAAATGTAAAAAAAAAGCTTCTGAATCTAGGTTAATGGTATTTCAGTGATGGAAATATAGCATAACAAAATTATCATTTTGTACTGGGTCATAAAACGTCCATAAACTATTTTAAATAAGAGAAGACAGCCAAATATTTTTGAAAGTCTTTCCAAAACTTACAAACAAACTTCATTTCAGTCATTGTACTGATTCAAACAAATCAGCAAAAACTTCATTTTGTACTTTAAATCTTTAATGTGAATAGAATTTTATTTTCCATTCACAAACTTTTGATATTTTCAAACATAATTTTTGTTAAAAATTATATCAATAGGCTATTTTACGACCCATACCCATATAAATAATAAAACTATCTAATATTCTTATCTCTCTGTTTTAGTTAAAAAAGCACAATTAGAAATTAAAGGTAAGGGGAGTGAAATCTGTCTGGATTCTGGCACACACTATCCAACAAGTCTCTTGTTAAGGGACAGTAACTCTGTTTGTCTGGCAAAATGCCAAATATCTTACCTAGGAGGCTTATCAGTTTCTTCATTCCTGTTGTTTCAATATCAATTTACATAAAAACACATGAGCAATAAAAAAAAAACTATAAAATTATTAATCTTTGTTGTTTGTTTTCGTTAATATTGCTGTTTATTCTTCTACCCAACATATTTAAAATATATTTTCAAAAATCTCACTTTCAATCTAATCATTTACATAGGAAATAATTCTTATTTAAATCACAAAATGTTCCATTAATGGCATAAACTCAACTGATAGTATTTCAAAAATACGAAAATGAAACCATCTTGCTAGCTTGTTTATAAGTCTGTAATCAATTACAAAAAAAATGTACTTTTTAAGGCACTTAATTTGTAATTAAATTTAAGCTTTAGCTAACTTAAAGTTGAATATTATTAAATTTCAATAATAATTATGGCATATAAGTAGCTACAAGAGAATTAAGAGTTATATGATTATTCAACCTGTATCACTTTAATATTATACAATGTAATATAAAATAACATTTTAATTGATGTACATGTAATTTAATTTACATGAAAAGTTTTAAAAAAATTGATATTAATTTTATGTACATGTATATAGTAAAAAAAAATTAGAACAAATTGCAAAGTGTCCTTTATGATAAGAAAAACAAGCTTGACTTAATTGATTTTACCTTGGATGTTTGTCCTTCACACTCTCCATCTCACAGAGTGATCTGAAAAACTCGTCAAATTTTATCCTCGAGTTTTCATCGAGAGTTGCACCTACTGACCACACCATTGAGAATAAAAAGTAACATATGAGCATGTTAGTTTTCTCCTCGATGATTTTCTGGTCGGAGAGGCTGGTCGGTTTCTCCTCGGCTTTCTCCTCCTCACCCTCCGGTAATTCCTCCTCGAATATATCTTCATCATCGTCCTCTTCTTCACCAATTTTTCTGAAAAAAATTGTTTAGTCCTCTTAAAATTTATAAAATAAACATATCACTTTTTAAAAGTTATACAGGTAGTCAATCTCTTTTATCTTTTCTTTGTAACATACATTATGGATTTAAACTCGAAAAATAAGTATGATGATAAATAGGATTTCCAATGCTTTTGTGAATGAATTTGTATTTTAGCAAAAAAAAACCTCAGAAAAAAATTGTAGGGTATATATGAGAATTCAGAATAAGTTGTAAATAAGAGGGTATACATAAACATAATAATAGAACCAGCTACAATGAGTATACTATTTCTGTGATTGAGGTTACTCATGCGACCAGTGCAGACCAAAATCAGTCGGCACATTGTTTTGGTTCAGATTGTAAGATGAACAAGTCTATTTAAGTTACTTAATATAATAAGAGATAAGATATTTTAACATGGTAAAGTTGAAGACCTATTCAAAGCCATACTATGATTATAATATCATTTCAACATTCATGTACAATTACGAAACTTACTTGATATCCTCCAGAAGACATGTATATAGTCGTAGCATACTCATCGTTAAATGCATCGGATGACAGTTGAGTATATGTTTACAATATTTAACTACATAGTTCAAACATGGCGGTAACATCCATTCAAATAACATCTTAAATATACAAAAAAAAACTTTCAATGACATCACATGATAAGCAAACTGTAAAAAATGACAGGAATGAATATGTATGACGGCAACAGTTAAAATGTTTAGAGCTACTGACAGCGATTTTGTTAGAAGTAATGTTGGCAAATTGATTGAATATAAAAACATCAATATCTGAATGTCTATCTCAAGTATACTGTGTACATTGTACCAAATAACACATTTTGATGCAAATTTTTAAACTGTTTCCTAGGAAACCATTTGTTTGAATATTACACATATTTTTCAAGCTACATAGTTAATTTAAAATTCTGCACAGATTCTGCACAGTTCAAAAATTCAAAGTTTATTCATAATACTAAAGAATGCACATTTCATTTTCAAACAGTATAATTCTGTTTGACAAAATTCTATTTAATTCAACTTTGAAGAGCAGCAGTTCTGTCAAAATGGCTCAAAAATAATTAAGTTATTATATGAGCTTACTTAATATACATGTATATTTTATGACCTCTGCAAATACAAAGATACCACAAAAACTAGTGAGAGGAAAAAAAAAATCCCCTATTGAACAAATATAGATAATAATTATGTACATACTCTTATAGTATCTTTTTGTTCCTGAGTAAGTTTGTATTCTGGAAGACTGGTTGCCATCCAGGACTTCACAAGTGGTTCCCAGCCTAGCTGTAGTGGATCCATGTAAATCATACCACATCTGTAATATCATGTAGGAAAATTTCAGTATCAGAAATTATATGACTGAAATAAAATGCCTGTCATTCAAAATTCAAAGACCCATATTTGAATCACAAAATATCAAACATTTGATATTAAAAAGAAATTGATAATTTGGTATGTTTGATATTTGAAATATTTTTTTTTAAATTTTTGTACATTTGATATTTTGAAATATTTGTGATTCTTTGGTATACTTTAGTATATTCAAAATTTTGGTGTATTCAAAATTTCATAATTAATTATAAATTGACATATTGATAAATTTCTTAACTTAGTATAATTAATATTTTGGAAATTTAGGAATATTTGACATTTTGATATATTCAATATTTTGGTACATAATATATTTTGGTATAATCAGTATTTATTTTTTTTTTTTTTGGAGATTCTAAATCTGGTAAGTGGCCAGATATTTTTTTGTATTTTGATATTATTATGAAATATGCATGTATATATAATTGATATTTTGGTACAATATGTTTCATATTTAGGACAGCAATATTTACCTGCTAACAGTGGCTGGGGAGGCTTGCTCCAAGTCCTGAGGTTCAAATATCATGTTCTGTTTGTTGTTCATCTGTATAATCTCTCCACTCATTAAACAAAGCTGCAGTATAACATGAATAAGTCAATACAAATAACACACTTATCACAGGAGTTGCCAGACAGAATGTGCACTTGTTTATTCTCAGCGTTTAACCATTTACAAAGGGGAATAATTTAATGCAAAAAGAAAGCAAGAGTTAAGTGTCTTTGTCTGTGATCTAAGATTTTGACCGAAAAGACAGGTGTCAAGATTGGAATGAATTCAGAATTGTAGATATACAATGTATCTTTCATCCACAATGATTGGACACATCTTTTGAACGATTATAAAAAAACTTGTTGAATATTTTCAAAATTTATAAATAAGGGATAGACTGTGGTAAATCTCCAGTGGTATGGTTTGCATATGTTGTTTCTTTAAAACCAGTTTTATTTAGGAGAAAAACTGGACTGACTTCTGAACAAATGTTAATTAAGTCTCTTCCAATATGGCTTTTTTAATTTAGATGTTAAAATATTTGAGAACAACCAAAATGTGTACGTATTTAAGACTTAAACTAAATGACTTTATATAAAAGATAACCTTTTTGTTATCATCAAGCACTGTATTCATATTTTCAATCCACACAGCATCCACAGGACCATCAAAGATAATCCACTTTCTATGATGCGTGGTGCTGGAAGCATGCTCTCTAAAAGTGTTTGCAAGAATACCTGAAATATAAATTGCATTAAGATCACAGAATTTGCTTTTACAAAGCAAATCATTGATTTGATTAGTCATTAATTTTGATAGACTTATTGTTTAAAATCTTTTTAAGGGTTCTTCCTTGACCAAGTGGTTTAAGTCCCAGACACAAAATCAATTGCCCTACACTGGTATGGGTTTGAATCCCACAAAGGACTAGGGATTCTTTCATGTGAGGAGGGTATCAAGTTAACGTAAGGAAAACCAATTGCCCACTTGTTCTTACAGTTATGCAGAGAATTACATCTTATATTTTCTTTACCAGTGAAGTTGATAAGTTGCAAGTTCAAAGTTAAAACATAAATAAAACTTGAAATGTGTCCGTATAACAAGGATGCCCCATATTTTGTCGATCTACAGACAGACAATTTGACATATAAACATGGGCAAATCTATATGATAGATCAAACTTCACATGTATTAAATTACTAATTACATTTATTTATAACCAAAATTTTGTTCAGGAAATCAACAAGAAAATGTTTAACATTAAACAAGCTACACAAAGAAATTAAAATATATACGTATGATGTTTCAAATATCACATACCATCAGTCCATTCATGAGACACAGGGTCAAATCTACCATAAAGCTGACCCATAGTGACTGCTTTAGGGTTTATAATTCTGTACCACACCTGTAATTGTAACAAAAGATTCATTTAAACATGTAATTTATCTTAGTGAACCTATGGTATTCCTGACAAGAGAAATGCAAATGCAAGTAATTTTTATCTGCCGCTACCATGAAAGTTTTGGTAACAAAAAACTTAATGTAATAGGAGTTCATTGACCTGAAAATATCTTTAAAACAGTAATAAATAGGCAATTTAATAACATCTATAAATTCCAAACAGTAAATAATCTGGACAAAATCTTACCCCATTTTCATCCATCAATCCTTCTTTATGCAGATCAGCCAAAGCATCTGCTAGTACCATGTAGGACGAGGACTTCCCAGCCAGCGGATCTCCGACAATCATCAGGCCATGACGTACCAATATCATGTCATATATCTAGTTAGAAACCAATATAACATCAGTACAATATTCCATGACATTGAATTTTCATTTCTCATTATTTTTGCAAAAATCGTTTAGTTATCAACAGATTTAGCATTATAGCTAACTCAAGCTAAGAAAGCGTGCAAATTCCCAAATTTAAAGGCAATTCCTATGTGATATAACAAAGAAAAATGATTTTGACATTATTGTTTAATGACGTATGTTCATGAAAAAACCCTCTTAACTTTACAATAATCAAATTCCATAGATGAGATTAGTTTAAACATATCTATTTTTAAGCTTGATTGTGAAACTAGTTCTTGCAACTTATATAAATTACTTTCGAGTCCACTTCCAGATACTAACCAGTACGGTGTCAAATGAGGAAACATGATATTGCCTGAGTAGGGATAAGACCCATGATCCCTAGGTTTAAATGCAGACACCTTAACCACCACGCTACAGCTTCATATAGATGAGTTTCACATACATGTATTTATACAGATGGCCTTGAGTTATGGAACTTATTCTGGGCTCTGGCTTAAACCTCAGGCTTTCTATTGTGCCAGTGTCTGATCAATCAAAATAGCTGAGATCAGAGTTTCAGCTTTGGAAAATTCTTTATAACACTGGAAAATGTATATTCCCTTTTAGCATAACCATTTACAAAGACTTGCAGCTTACTTGTATAATCTTCTCGGTGAAGTATGGAACTGCCTGTAGATTTCTTGACTCTATATGTTTGATCAGAGCGGACTCTAGGGCATCATAGTCTGGTTTAGGAAGCTCTACACCCGGGAACAAGTCAGAGATGATACCCTCAAACAGCGGAATGTCATGTGACAAGAACTGAAAATATACAATAATTACATTAAGTATATATTACAACCGACAAATTTCTTAACACAGGTCTGGAATAATATATCTATTGTCTGTCTATTGAACTTGAAACATGTTAAATTAAAAAGTTTCATTGGAAATGTTTTGTGTGGTACAGTAATGTATGTTATTTTGCTTTAAGTAAGAGTCTAAAAATCTAATTTAATTTAAAGCTTTAATTTAAATTTTATTATGATAACTCTGTTTTGTTCTGTTCTATAACAGAAGGTTCATAAATTGTTTACAATCTGCAGTTTGATATATGTGTTAATTTCATTAATTAGGGAATAATTGCTACATTATATACATTAGATCAAAGAACAATCCTTTTAAGTGAATAAGTTTCATAATTAAAATGTTTGAATTATTTTAACTGAATACTTCTTGCACAAAATTACAATGTTTAAATGAAAAATGTTCATGAATACAACATCTGCTATATATTTTGATGGATTGGCAATTAAATGTTGAATGCAATGTCATTGTCTAGTATTTGCCAGTCTAGAAGACCAAATGAGACTATCATATAATAGGAGGAGAGGGGTCAATGAGTACATCTCTTAACTGACTTAAAAGAAGTTATGAAACATCTAAAGTTAAATCACTTGCCTGCATTAATTTTAAAACATATCAGCAAGATAAACAAACCTTGGGCAAATTCACATCATTAATAGATCTCAGCACCAGCACATCTTCTCTCTGTTCTGGGTATTTTATTTTCAGATTTCCGGCTGCTGTGAGCACAGATTTTACTGCTCTCATACCGTAGTCATAATGATGCTGTGAAGATAGCTGCTCCGAGCACAATTTGTATGTAGCAACAATTTTGGTGGATAGACTTCTCGCATCAACAAAGCCCATGGAATATAGTGATATTTCGGCAATCATGGCATAGTCTGGAATCATCATAGCAACTGTACGGAATAGCACCTATAACAACAAAACAAACGTGTTATAATGTGTATTTCTACCAGTACATACAATACCAAGCCGAGTCTAAAATAAGAGCAGGATAGGAAATTTATAAAATGCCATCCTTGTGAATAAATTGAGATATGAGAGTCAAAAGACAAGTTTATAATTCAACAACTCTTTCTGCTGGGCTTATTACAACTGGTCTTCACTGTCATAAACATTGTGATTAAACAAGAGTTGTGGCCTGTGTGTTAAAGGTGTATGCCTCTAAACCCGTGGGATGTGGGTTTGAGTCCTTTTGAGGTCAAGACCATATTTTCTTCAAAAGTCTCCAGTACAGGCTTACACCAGGCACAAAGACTAGAGAGATAAATTAAACTCAGTTTCACACTTTCATCACATTCCACCTACTAGAATATATTTAAAATCATTGTAACATTTTGTTACATCTTTTACACATATAATTCCCATCACAGTTAATGTTACATCATTTGCATGACATCATAATGTTTAAATGACCTTACAACTGTACCAAAATTGGATACTTCCGTTCTTATATTAACATCTTCATCTATGATGTAAATACAGTAATAATATTATCAACTTTCAAAGAGGCATTAACTAGTAACTTTGACATTTTCAAAATGTATACATTCAACCTGATTTTCCTCCAGATATTACTTATTTAAAAAAAAATAATATTTTAAACACATTGTGTTTGCACTTTACCTTTAGATTATCTGGAAGCTCTGCCCTGCCTGCATACCCAGGGTTCATTGTAATAAATATAGTACATGTAGGATCTAGAGAAATCTCTGTACCCTCAAACACAAATGTCTGTAACTGTTCAGCTATAGCCCTTTGTATAGTCTGAACCTGCTGTGCTATAACTGACAATACCTGTAATATAATGGTTCAAGTTTGAAAATTTAAAGATCCCTTCCGTAGCAGTGTAAATAAAACAATATAGAAGTTTCGGCATGGTTAACCTGTTGGACAAGCAATCTAATGATCTGTAGCCGCAATTTATTGGGTTCAATTTCCCCCAAGGGCAAGTTCCAGAAAATGAATTTATGAAATTCAACAGCTTAAAGTAAATTGATCTATAATGGAATGTTTGTACATGTTATACAATAAAAAATTATGTTGATAGTATTAATAATTAGATAAAACAACAATCAACAAAAGAATTATATATAAATGTTGTTGGCAAGTGTGAGATACATATATTGATCAAATATTACATATATCTATAATTATAGCAGATCATAAAATGTTCTGGATCATATACATTTTCATACTTTATGACTTAGAACTTTATTAACATTTTTTTTCAAGCAATATTTTATTACAGTATCCAATTGACACATTTCTGTTGTTTTTCCCAATTTTTAAAATACTTATGAAAAATGTATCCATTGTAGACCAATCCACTTTAAGGGTTAACTTTATAGACTTGTCCATGTTTAAGAATTTATACTTACTTCAAGTTCAATTCTGTTAAATTCATCAAAACATGCCCAGGCACCTGACTGTGCCAAGCCCTTGAAGAATTTACCCATAGCCTTATAGTCAAGTCCATCTGAGCAATTGAACACGACACACTGAAATATAGAAATTTAAAATTCTCATAACTCTTTACATTTGTTTTTCATTCATTTTTACTTTCCTTACAGATAAGTATTATAGGGTTGGGGGCATCATCCACTTTACCTGCATCCTTATAGATAAGTATTATAGGGTTGGGGGCATCATCCACTTTACCTGCATCCTTATAGATAAGTATTATAGGGTTGGGGGCATCATCCACTTTACCTACATTGTATCATGTTAGTTGCCAATGACAACAAAACTTATAAAATGTACGCATAATACAAAAAGTTGTCAAATCATTTAACATTTACAGCCTCACAAGTTCCATGACTTTAATCTATCACTTTCAAATTTGAAGAAGATAAATTTTTACTTGAAATGTTTAAAGTAAATGCAGTTTTAACTGTTAAGCAACATTCAAAATAATTAAAAAAATTTCCATTGTTTATTTTCCAGATCCTAAGATTCTAGGTTGACAACTACAGTCAAACGTGTATTAAGCGACCGGGCAAGGGAAACACCCAAAACGGTCGCTTAATGAAACGGTCTCTTAAGACAGTCAGCGTGATATAAAAGTCAAAATTTATAAATGACATCTTTTTTTTTCGGTGGGATTGTTTTTCAACTTCATTTTTATATAAATGTTGAAACAAATACGCTCCGATAATTTAAATGGATGCAAATGTAAAAAAATAACTTTCTGCTATTTATTGACAAAACGGTTTCAAGATCCATTACGTACATGTTTGACAATTTTCCAGAATTTTTTAACTTCTGCGTTTTTTTCCTTGTCTCCAACACGAAAACCCTATTAGTGAAGACGTTTTCTGTTGTGCATTTTTTTCATTTGAAATAAACAACCTACATCTATTTGTTACGATTAATTTAATGGCTGATCAAGTTCAAGGTCAATTCAATGCAGTCTAAATGTCAACAAGCGAAGCGTATACACCATCTCAGTATGGGCGGAGCGTTGCATTGTTTATCCGATATTATTGGATAATACACGTCACGCGTATAATTAACTTCATTCGCATACGCTAAAACGGTATGGGAAATAGAGTTTTCACACGTTTATGTGTTTTGCTTGTTGACACTTCTGACTTAACGAGGTGGCGTTCTCTAAAAACACAACTACTTGACAGGTAAAAGTGGTCGTTTAATGAAAAGATTGATGTCAATTAGGGGACTAATTAGCGGTCGCTGGTCGCGTTGAGCAAAAGTCGCTTAATACATTAAAGATATAGAGAGAAAATGATCGGGGGGAATTTAAAGTGGTCGTTTAAGACAAAAGTCGCTTAATACACGTGGTCGCATGGGCAAGTTAGACTGTATCTCTGTTTTTATTCGTTACATTTCCTTAGAAGCAAAATCAAAAGAATCTTTCAAGTAACAATAAATCAAAAGTTTAAACATAAGAAATCAATGCCACTTCTTAAAAGTTATGGTAGTAGCACAATCACTTTTGACAAACATACCTGTTTAGCAACTGCTTTAGCCAAATCTTTGGATGTCTCAGTCTTCCCTGTGCCAGCAGGCCCCTCAGGAGCTCCTCCCAGGTTCAACAACAACGCCCCCATCAGAGTCCTGTAACATCTGTCGGTCAGAGGCGTGATCACAAGCCGTCCTGTGTTACCCAGGTACTCGTACCCATAAGCCACGGTGGTAGTGATCATACGCACCATAGTGCCTTCATCTTCCTTATAATATCTTAGCTGAGATATCCAGGAGAAATCTAGGGGGTCCTTTATTTCTATGTCATTCAACTTCTGAACAACATCTCGTGCTGTTAATATATACATGAGTTTACTATGTGAGTTTTGTTTTTCAACAGTATTGCATAATATATCTTAACTGTTCATATAATAAAAGTACTGATTTTTAAGAAAATGAGCATGTAATTTCATGATGTAAGTCATCTATCCTTCATTTACATAACTTATAATGTGAAAGAAGTTCAATCAGAACTAGTGCTTAACTAGTCTATGTTTAATCTATAACTATTATCATTATACATACAATTAATTTACTTTGCTTTTTACACAAAAGATCCATTTGAAGAAAGATCTTTACCATGTCAAAGACTGGCTTTATTGCAATAACATATGATTAAAGGTAGCTCTGACCTAGTGGTTAAAGATTTACTCTTGTAATCCAGGTATCATAATCTCAAGTACTACTACTTTTCTAAACACAAATCAGCTAGCTAAGTTAGGTCTAAAAAAGCAGATTACCATCATGAATGACTGTAAATTGGACAAGTTTCTGACTGTAAATCTGTACGTTTATTATAATATAATTATAAAGTTACCATGCACATCAATGACAATGAGAGCTCCTAGTGTGATTCTAGCCATCTTAGAGAGTGATCCCCTCACCATGGTAACCACTTCCTCTATCTGCTTGTTACTCTTCTGTAGGTAAGGACCTAAGCTGTGGTATTTGATCGACTGTAACATTTATAATTCATGGTAAAAGCTTTCATTGAAATCAATAAATGAGTGCAATTTTGAAAAAAAAACAATGTTGAAAAAAAAAGAAAATAGAAAAATTGTGAAAAGAAATCTGTTCAGAGGACAGTATGCCTCTTTTCATACAAATTTTTTATGTTAACCTTGAGGTCAAGGTCAATCTGGGGTCAAGGTCATATCTTCATAGGTTACTATATCATGGGTAACTGAGCAGATCATCTGCCCTTTATCAAAATTGATAATCAAAAAAGTATATGATATATTTACCTGAGTAACCTCTGTTGTCCAGTGTATCTGTGACGCAGCAAGTACTATCTGTCCGGGCCACTGTAACACCCATTCTCCACGTGGTATCTTGGGATATGCCTCTGTTGCCTTTAAGTTTACCTCCTTTAAACTTAGTTTCATCACTTCTTCAACCTTTAATCAATCGTGATATAGACAGACACATAGTCAGAATTTAATCAAACATTGTACAAAAATACCCTAACTTTTTTATTGAAATCACAAACATTGCATGAATTTCTTTGAAATCAATGCATGTTAGAAACCCATGTGACCTACCTTGTGATCAACCTATGCCAGAAAATTGATGCTGAATTCAAGCAACATTCTTGTGGTTTCTTCTTAATTTTGAAACACAGACATATACATTAGGTCACTATATTGCTTCATTATGTATGTAATCAAATTGAACTATCCATAGTAGACCCAGATAATGTAAATGCCTCCAGTAAAAATTTCTTATCCTATGCTTTCATTATATTTTTACTGTTAAAACTACATGTATACAAGAGCTTTTGAAAAATCTAATAATTATAAAAGAAAATTGCAATCTGTACAATCAGCCATATAACATTCAATATTAAAATCAAGGTATTTACAATTTCATAATTCTGTTAACATAACACAATACCTGAAGTAGCCATCTCTCCACTAAACCTTTAGCATCAGCAGGGACAATTGTTTTAGCAAACGGCACCACTTCGTTCTCCGCCGACTCCATTGCTGTAATAACCTTGTCTATGTCAAAACTGAGCTGCGATATACCCTCGAAACATTTCTTCAAGTGAGGTTGTACACGGAGAGGGTCCTTTGTCTCAGATAGAATCTCCAGTAACTCATCATTAGATAAGAAGAAAAACCTAGAAAAAGTATAAAAATAAATATATTACCTCTCAGTTTAACTCTAGACACACTGAATATTGCTAATGGATTATTGCAGCACTCAACCTGGACAAAACCATTCATAATTTTTTTGGGGAATATTTCTAAATATTAACTGACTGAATTGTGAACAGTGAACACGCCATGATCATATGTGCCAGATGAACTTATCTGTTCTGGTCACATGCATAATTGCAGTCAGTTGTCTATGTGGGTTTTATCTACTTGTATGTGTTTTTTAACTTGACAGTGAAGCTCATTTGAACCATCCTTAAGTTTGCTTTCTGGTACTTAACAGGATGACATAAAATTCATAATTCATCATTACAGTTCAGCTCAGTCCACAATGCCATGTTTAGACCAGAAGGCTATAATAGGCCCCTTTTGAGATATGTATTTGCAAATCTTGTGTTAGGCCAAAATGACATAATATTGAGGTTTTCACTATAAACATAAGCAACGGACTAACAAATAACACAAGCTAATACATCTATAGGTTCATGGTTAGAACCAGAATATAGCTGCATATTCGTCTTACCACGTGACACTTCATGTAAATAATTAGATTAACAAAGCAAGTCAAATCTAATCACATGTAAGTAAATGATGTTGAAAAGTGTACCTTGGAAAGAACAGTCTCTTCTTCTCCAGATAATTGTTAAGACCTTTCTGAATGTCATCCAACATTGACTGAAAATATTAAAATATAACTGATACAGTTCATCAAATTATTCAAAATAAATCCAAACTTTGGAAAAACTCAAATTAAAATATTCCTCTTAAAATTATTATAACCTTATTAACAGAAGCTGTTTCTGACTGCAAGTTCAAAAATTGCACAATTGGAAAATTAATAATCCAGGGTTTTTCTTTAAATGTTACAACCACATACATAATGATTTCAGAAATTTGTCAGAAATATAATTGACAGACCAACAGACAGACAGACATACCTCTGAATGCTTGAGTTTTTCCAGCATATTATCTTGAGATACCACTACCAAAGCTTCCGTATTCTTTATAGCATTTGTCATAATAGTTCTCCTGTAAAAATAAAATATAGAGTGTAACAGTATACATACAGTCAAACCTGTGTTTAAAAAACCATCTCAGAAAAAATATCACCCTGTAATATAGGCCACTCTTTGAAAAACCCTCAAATAACAAAATAGAACAAAGTAACCTGCAAAAAATATCAGCTTGTCTATAAAGGCCAGGCTTGGTTTCTCCCTTTAATGAATTTTACTGATTCATAATAGGCCTTATGTTTATGTGGCCATTATAAAATAAAACATTTGATCAGATCATCACAAATATGGCATCACAAATTTCTTACAGAGTGGGGAAACCTGTGCTTGATGTATTTTATACATAATTAAAAGACTTTCTTATATTTTGCTGCTACTTCTAAAACAATAGATTTATAGAATCATAGCAAGCACATGGATATGTTTAGCTTTGAATTCCTCACTGATTCAAAATAAAAATAATCTATATAAGTTCAAGCTAAAAGAGTAATACACATCAATATAAGAATTTTGTTTTTGGGTTTTACGTCACATCGATACAGTATAGGTCATTTGGCGACGTTCCAGCTTTACTGGTGGAGGAAGACCTCAGGTGCCCTTCCATGTATTTTTCAGGCATGAATGGGCACCTGAATAGAACCACCGACGTTCCGTAAGCAAGCTGGATAGTCAAAATGAGAATAGTTAACAGTATTTACCAGTGTTCATCCACCTCTACAAACATCTGTCCCTCCACTGGTATCTGGCTCCTAATATCCTCTGATCCAAAGATTGGTTCCAGGTACAACCAGGCAGCTTGTACATTCAACCAGGACTCTAATGTGTCCTTCATTCTATGCTGTTAATAAATATGTAAATCACAGTAAGTTATGGTTAAAAGCGCTTACGGTTTAGCGAATTACATTTAGGTAAAATTATAAGAAACATATTCGAAGGTAAAATAATCAATTTTTAAGATAATTTTTAACTAATTTTGAACTTAAATCTATCAATTTCTACAACTTCAAGTTTGAGAATGCAGTGTAATTTTAAATATTATGACTTTGTAATGTCATAATGTCATTTTATTTAAATATTTTCTATTAAATTTGAGTCAGTAATTCAGAAACACTTATTTGACCAGCAGTTTCATTCTTAAAAATGTGAAATCTACAGGACATAACTGCTTCTCACATTCCACTGTTTTGTCAGTTTGCAGATGGCCAGATTTGAAGTGACAGCAGGACAGTGCAAATGGATTGACAAGGGCAAATTTATATTACTTAGTCCCCACTCCCAAAAGTAGTGGGGACATATATGTATAAAGGTTAAATTAAGCAGTCAACAGTATAGAGAGTCGACACTATAATAGAGTGGACAGTATAATATAATGTGCCAGTTGACCTGACACTGTACAGGACAAGGCATATACTAAGGACAGGCCATTATTGCCGCTAGCAGTGAAGAAGTTATACCAGAAATAAGTCCCATTCATTAACTTCCTCTTCAAATGGTCCAATAAACGGTGAACCTTTCATTGTCATGGTCTTTACAATATGGTCATCTAGCAACACCTGAAATATATTACATTGCAGATATCTTAAGCACCTAAAATGATTATAAAATACATGTCAATCAGTGCCCTTTTAACAAAGTTTTGTTTTTTTCATCCTATTAAGCAAACCAAATCAACATTCTGAAAATCAAACTACATTGTATTCAATTTACATGATAAAAATATGTTGACATAAAAAAACTTTCTTCTCTGTTTTCTTCAAAACAAATTGGTGGTAAGGAACATTTTAGCAAGTTCTTACATTATATATTTATGTTATAAGTGCTAACATATGTAAAAACAAAATTACCTGTACATCATCTGGTGCTGACAATATGCTGATATCAGTGTCTTTATAATTCACAAAACTGAAATGCATGTTCTGCCAGTCCTGTTTCATCTTTTTCAATGCCTGTGAGGGGAGATAAACAGTTTAATTTAAAGGGAGACCACTCATATGATATTAAGGAGAAGATAATAAAAATACTAGTAATTAAAGTACTAAAATAAGTTTTAAAGAACAAAAAAAAAAACATTCAATTGCTCATACAAGTGGATATAATTTACTATATGATGCAATTGTACTAAAAAATCTTTAGATGGCTTACAAATGAAATCTTCTTGGATAATACATTTTGACAAAAAGAAACAAATACGCATTTCCAGTATGTAAAATATCACGGGTGTGTTACTTACAATTTCATTTAAAATGACAAAAACTTTTCTTTGCGACTAACTGTAATATAATAGACAGATAACAATAAATTTAATGAACAAAATGTACTTACATTTTCGAGGGCAAATTCCTTGCTAGCTTGATTACTAATCAACTGTAATTTATCCAGATATTTCTCCAATCCCAGCTGTAATACCTCCATTAATGGGGTCTCCTCAGTGGGAGCCATATTGAATCTATAATAAAATACATGACAATGTTATACATACATTCTATGATAAAAACATACATAATTTTCATAGAAAAGATAATATTGATAAATGTGTATTTACTAAAATCAGTTTTTGTTCAGTCTTTAGTTTTCAATAAGTAAACTAAATACAAAACGTTTTTGGAAATAAGATTTCAAAAAAATTTTGATATCAAAATTTACTTTTCTATAAAATCTAAATTTAATCTTATGTTATAATTGTTCTTAAAGAGTCTTGAGAACATGGTCTTTTTGGCAAAATAAGAGGTAATCTGCTTCTTGTCTTCTCTATAAGATGGCAAGGGAATAGTTAGGAGATACATGCAGTAAGGAGATAACGGTCACAAGTTTACATGTAGTTAGATAATAGTAAGGTTATAGGATAATAGTAATGAGATAGTTAGGAGACAATGAAGAGACATTAGTCAGAAAATAGTAAGGAGATAATAATAAGGAGATAGTTAGGAGATAATAGTCAGGATATAGTATGGAAATAGTATGGAAATAGTACAGAGAGGGTATTACTAAGGAGATAATAGTGAAAAGATAGTAAAAAGTTAGTCAGAACTTTGTAAATTTCATTTTGTTTTTCTTTGAAAAAGATGTCTTTCTAAAATCTATCGACATATTTTGGTAGTACCTTGTCTGTTAAAATTATAAAAGGCTTATATCTGCTTACTCAGTTTTAATTTTACAATTACCTACTTACCAAATATGTATTTTTTGACATTAAATTAACTTTACTTACCCAACTTTTTCTGACATCATATCCCAATGTCTGTCCTTGATACCAGGGTTACAGAGTGAATTGATGAGTGGCAAGTTGATCTGGAACTTCTGTAACTTGCTCTTGATTGTGGCGGCTGCTCTCATCGGACCCTGGTGGTGTTTCTGACTAAAGTTCTTCATCAACTTGTACACTGTCTTCCACAATGTTTGAATCTGCCAGAAACATTATAATTGTTAACATATGATGACAATAGAATAATAAAAACAATTTAACTTAATAGAGACATAAGATATAATTGTAAGTAATTACAATATTTTTGGAAAATTATCATAGAAAAATATTCTTTTATTTACAAATTAACACTCAGGTGTCATATACAAGCTTTCATAATATATATTCAAGTTTTTTTCTATAAATACAGGATTTATTTTCATATGGAAATAGATATTTCATGAATTGTGGTAGCCATGAGTGAATTATGATAATTTTCATACCAAAGTATGAAAATAAATCCTGTATTTATAAAAAAAATTTGAATTTTCTTTTTATTAAATACAAATTTGAAAGACTTCTGCGTAAATTTTGTGTATTTGCTGACTCTGAAAGAAAGTAGTCTAGCAAGACACCACTCATGACATGCAGTGAAACATATTTTCCATATTATCACTGGTGACCAGTGATAATAAAGAAAATATGTTTCACAGCAGTGAAAAATAAATTTTTGCAGTGAAAGAACAGAAAACGAAAATACCTATTCTATTTCATGAATATTTCATTCATAAGTATGTAATAAATACAATTACATGTAGGTGAACAAGTAAATTACTAATCAATGCTATTATAACTACAAGAAAAAGAATCATCTGAATTTCTTATAATACCTCTTCCTCTACGACTTCAGCATTGACATTGAGCAGTGGACCATTCATCCATTTATCATACTGGGCATGGAAATGTACAGCTGTCGTCCAGAGTTTATCAAATGGTTCTTTCTGTGCGATGAAGTCTTGTATCTGGGGATACTGCGTTATATGCTCTATTCCAAGCATCACTTCTTCACGATTAATTTTTGTTTTCTGTCAATTTAAAGGTAAGAATATCATAATGTGGACTGGCAGTAAATATTCAAATAATTATGCTCTGAGATCGAAGACTTTGATCATGAAAGAGAAAATATTGACATGGTTAACATGGGATCTTATTCTTATCTTATTTCTGTACCTAATATTGACAAGGTTTACATGGTACCTAATTCTTATCTCATTTCTGTAACTAATATTGACAAGGTTTACATGGTACCTAATTCTAATAAGTTATCTCATTTGTGTAACTACTTTTTGACAAAAATACTTATTGCTTAGAATACTAACTAATTTGAAAAAGAGCAAAATATAATGCTGCACATCAATTTTATGTCACTGGTATATGCGAAAAAAAAGTTACCTCCTCTTGAAAGAATTCTATCTTATCTTGGATTTCTTTGAGGTCAACTGTGTACTGCTCAGCCTCTGACATTCTATCTTTCCCTGAGAAATCTTTAAGTTGCTTAGCAACAGCATCAAGTTGTGTCTGGAAACGTTTCTGCCAGTCCATCAACTTGTTGGTATAGTAATCATGCTCCTTCTGTAGCTTCAACTCCCTGTGGTAAAATGAAAAGTATATTTAGTGTCTTAAAATCTAAAGCATATTAAGTATTCCCTAATCATGTTGCTGTGATTAAATTTAAAGCATATTTAGTATTCGTAATTTCAAATATTTCTGAAGTAAAATCAAAAGCATATTTAGTACGCATTCATTATTATATTTCTGTGGTAATATTTAAAGTATATGTTAAGTATTCATAATTTATTATATTTCCGTGGTAAAGTTTAATATTTGGTATGATGATACAACATGGTTGTGATATGTAAAGTCCTAGTTTGAACCTAGAAATAATTTTATTCAAAGGCACCTAAGACTATTAAGGTACCCCAAGTTAAAACCAGCTTATCTCAAAAGCTGAAAATGTATACATGTATATTCCCTTAACCATTTGCTGGTTACTATCACAAGTACACAGACCACAATCAGCTCACACATCCATGCCATCTGATCATGGTCTGCTCCATTTGCTGTTCAACCAGTACTCATTTTCACATTTTCCCTTAAAACAATAAATGGTTTTGTCCAGATTGAAAGATGGACAAGTCCATTAAAGATGTTTAGTGCGTTTAAGGGTGAATCTGTCCGATTGACTTACGTGCTAATTATCATTTACGTGCTTATTATCACTTACGTGCTAGTTATCATTGGAATAATTCTTTCAGCCCAGGAGAATGTATTGTTGTTCAACAGGATGTCATCTTTTGGTAGATACCCATAATGCATCAGAAACATGAGGTTCCCTGCAGCCACTTCCTGCTTCTCCTACAATGTGAACCAGTCAAATTGATTTTTATTTTCAAAACTCTTATTGCAGATAATTATATGTGAAATATATATAGCTTTAAGAAATAAATACAACTGGGTGGCTGTATTAATAATTTGCCAAATGCTGATTGACATTTGAATTAAAAACATAAATTTTCTAAAAATAATTTGTTTCTATTGAAAACTGAAAATCTTAACTTCCTTTCATTATTCATTAGGAAAATAAACCATGCTTAAAAAAATTAGAAAACCTTAAGTTTATATACATGTATATAAAATTTGACATAATGTCTTTTGTTCAACCAATGACCTAAAATGTTACATAAATCAACAACTATTGGTAGAAAATAAAGTAAAAATCAAAACTATTTTTTTCTAAAAAGTTTAAAATCTATAAGAATCTTTTAAATAAACCGTTCCAATTTTATATAACTTGTCTTTATACATGTATAATATAGTAGCCATCGCAAACCTTAAGTTTGAGAAGTTCTCCAGCTCTCAGACTCTCCACATATTTCATCTGTGCCACAAGCTCATCTGTTCTCTCAGATTGCATGGTAATGTTCTTCACAATATTATCATACTGTCTACAGATGTTACGATTAAACTTCTCACTCGTAACCATGATATTGTCAACCATTCTCTTTACAAGATGCCGTGACCTGTCCACCATCCACTGGTTGAAGTTTAAAAAAAAGGAATTTTACTTTATTTTATCAATATTAATCTTATTCCACAAAATTTGAATAAATGAATGAACGAACAAACGAATGAATGAAAAAATGAATGAAGCAAATGAATGAATGAATGGAGGTCCAAGAAGCAAGAAACATCACATACATGTAGTTTCACATACATGTAGCTTGTTCAGTTATAAATATTGACACATTCAAACATGACTTTGATGTCAAAACTTCCTCATTATTATAAAGAACTAGAACTCCACGAGTTGGATGTGTCGCCTTGTGAACAATATAGTTTAGGAGAAATGGCCAGGACAAAAATGAAATAAGAAAACTAACAAAGGGCAATAGCTCAAAAAATAATAAGTGCAGAGCAGCAGTTTCTATGCACTGCACTTCTTATCAATAAGATCTATCATTCTATGAAGTTTCAAGTCCATATCTTTTATAGTTTATGAGATATGGCCTGGACAAAAGTAAAATATGAAAATATATAAAGGGTAATAACTCAAAAATAAGAAATGCAGAGTACTGGTTCTTGTACACTGCACTTTTTTCTTAATGAGATCTATCATCCTATGAAGTTTCATGTCTATAGCTTTCATACTTGAGGAGAAATGACCTGGACAAAAATAAAGTAAGAAAATTAACAAAGGGCAATAACTCAAAAAATAAGAAATGCAGAGTATCGGTTCAAGTTTCAAGTCCATAGCTTTTCTACTTTGGGAGAAATGGCCTGGACAAAAATAAAGTATGAAAATTAACAAAGGGCAATAACTCAAAAAATAAGAAATGCAGAGTACCTGTTCTTGTGCACTGCACTTCTTCTTAATGAGATCTATCATGCTATGAAGTTTCAAGTACATAGCTGTTATACATTAGGAGAAATGGCCCGGACAAAAATAAAGTATGAAAATTAACAAAGGGAAATAACTCAAAAATCAGGAAGTGCAGAGTACCGATTCTTGTGCACTGATGAGATCTATCATGGTATGAAGATTCAAGTCCATAGCTGTTATACATTAGGAGGAATGGCCCGGACAAAATTTAAGTATGAAAATTTACAAAGGGCAAGAACTCAAAAATTAAGAAGTGCAGAGTACCAGTCCTTGTGCACTGCACTTAGTGTTATTGAAAGAAGCATGCATACCAAGTTTGAAGTCAATCCGACTTAAAGTGACTGAGTTATGCTCTGGACAAGCTTTAGGGGACGCCGACAAAGACGCCGACACCGCCGACAAAAGTAATCCCTATATGTCGCCTTTTCAAGGCGACACAAAAAAAGCATGGACCAAGATGATATTTTCACAAACCTGATTTAAGTGGGAACAGTCTAGCAGGAAGAAATACATTGGCACGTATACAGGGAACGAAGCAATGGCAAACTCCATTTTCTTTAGTTTCTCGATCTCCCTCGTGTATTCACGTAATGATCGGTCACGACTGAGAAATTTGTCAACCTGTTTGTCCGCCTCCTCTGATATCAGGTGTTTGTACGGCTCATACAGTGATCTGTACCTAAAATACATCATGAAACAAGACTTAAGAGTGATCTCCCCTTTTTCCAGATTTTTAGTACTATGACATAAAGTCACCTCATTTAGACTACAACCATTTAAGGATTAAAACTTAAAATCAAAAGAAAATGCATATTTGCTGTGACTTCCAGCAGCAAGTATCTAATGGCACAATATTTAAATGTACAGCTATAAACAAGCATTTTACTAGTCAAATTGCTTGTATACTTTATTGGTATGTCAGAGGAATCATGTGACTCATGTATAAACTAATATACATTATACATATGATTACAAAATACATGTAGTTGATACAGTTATGTAAATAAGTATCAACAATGAGATAGGGGAAAATCATTAAATATGAATTTCTGTTTTATTCTTTATCCAGTGCCCTTACATGATAAGTGCATACTGGTCAAAATTATTTGGGTTGTAAAACATGTCTCATCCAAACAAACATATTCAACTATAAAAAAAAATTTCAACAACTTTCTAACATAATTATCAAAAAGTTGAAAAAAATTAAATTAATTTAACTTGTGGATGAAATTAAATCGGCTAAATTTCATCTATGGATAATGTTAATGCTGGTGAATTTTATTTTTACAAGTTTTCAAAATTTTAAAAACTTTTCAAAGGTCCATGACATTTGATAATCACGCTTTTATTCCTCTTTTGCATAATTCCTCTCCTCCTAAAATTTGTTTTTTATCTTTTAATAAATTTTTACACTTAAACAAAAAATTTTGATCCCGGGCGTTCCCGTACCTATAGTCTATTGGACAAAAAAAATCACAGGTGTCCTGGGCAAATGACCCCCAATTTCCCATTCCTCTTTCTAAAAAAAAGGAAAAATTTTGGTTTTTTTTATTATTGGAAAAAAAAATAAAAAGGGGGAAAGGCCAAAAGGGAAATACCCCCGAATGAGATTAAAAAAAACTTTCCTTAAATTTTAAATGCATTATTTTTTTAAAAAGGGCGGTTAAATTTTAAAACTTTTGGAAAAAAAAATTGAATTTAAAAAATTTTTAAATTTTATTTCAAATTGGAAATAACATACAACTAGAATAACTACAATTATTGACTAGTGAGCCATTGAATATGATGTGATACTCACCAGCAGATGGCATATTGACCAAGGCGATAATATTAAATCAGACTTTAATGAAATTCAACACTGGCAAAAAAAATAAAATAATAATTACCATAAATATAGTGACTGGATGTATCTTTTGCGGCAAGGCAAGATCTTTAAAAATATCATAATCTCCCTCATATGCATTCCCTTCATGATAATCCTCTACCAGATCTATGAGGTCTTTAATTGAGTTACATACTGTACTTCGTAACAAGTTGGACATCAATGTAGCCATACTGTTGAAGAAATGATCCATTTTCTGTTGCCGTATTTCCTATAATGAACATATCACATATATAATAGTCATGTAGATACCAACAGCCTTCCTGATCAATACCTCTGAATCGAAACTCCAAACCAGTGTTAAGGTAGTACACCCCTAAGGGGCACTATAAGGAATTGTAAATTTGACAACATAGGACAGTTATATGCCTTAAATGTCACCTGTATGCAAAATTTAAACAAAATTTACCGTGTGGTTTATGAGTTATGGACATTTTTATGAACTAAAACTTTGCCATTAGAAGGGATTTTTTCAGAAATGAGGAAACTCTAAATAATCTATAATATCATCATTATGAAAAATGTTTTCCTTTTGCTCATTGTTAAGAAATAAATAATGACATTTAGGTAACAAATTTAGCAAGCAAAATGATTGTTTTTAAACGAAATGTTTTTGCTATTAAATTTGGCATTATTTAGTAAATAAATGCCTACAATAATTATATAATTAAAATAAAACACTTTTTTCTTCCATAGGAGGTCTGAGAGATTAATAAAAAATGTTAAAAAGAAAAAAAAGAAAGAAAAAAAATTGCCCCTTCTGGGGTTTGAACCCACGCCCCCTCAGTTTCAATACACTTTACAGTGATTTTAGCCTATTTGAATACTCTTCAAAGTGGAGACAGTGCATTAGGGGTGTACTACCTTAAATAGCTCATAACCACTGCTACAATTGATATGATTTCTAAAATATAATATGCTAATTATATTACACATAGGTAATGAAATTTATCTAAACACAATGAATCATGTAATCAGCAAACATACTATGTGTAAAACATGGACTAACTTGGCAACTTTAATATAAAGCGTTTGTTTATAAATTTATAATGTAATAATTGCACTGATTTTAAGTATTTTATGTGTCAGATATAGAGTTATAAATGATTTCATTTGTTGCCTCAGCAATTTTGCTGATAAGTTGCAAGAGATGAAAAATTAGAAAGTTGTCAGCCAGCATTATGGAAACTGTGTTATACAAGTGACAAAGGCTTTACAGTTTTTATTTCAGCCTAGTAAAATTCAATAATTGAAATAATAACTTTGTATGATTAATAATGGAAAGAAAAATCTTGGCATAAAATTAACAAAAAATTAAATATCTAATTCCAACCTCGTTATCTTGCGGCATCCATTGCTCCACCTCTTCACGTCTCATGTCAACAATAGCGCAACATTCAGGCAGCCAATCATTTCTCAACTTCTCCACCCCTGATGTCGTAGACTGCTCCACATGCTTTAAGAAATCCTCCATTGTGACCGGCATGATTTGACGTAAACCAGGAATGTCAATCAACCGGAAATCACCATATCTGAAAGTATGTAATTTACTTTACAGTCTATTAGTGATACAAATCAGACAAATGACTAGAAATGTTGATACAAACCAGGTTTTCCACCGACATTTCTTTACATGAAAAGAACAACATCAAAATGCCAAAGTTATTCAAAAATAGATCAAGATACAAAAGCCAGGGCACTTCTTAATGAATATCATTTTTAATGAATATCATTTTTACAAGGTTAGGTTGAAATCCATTGAAAATATATCCAGTTATAAAATTGTTTATGCCTAGACTGCTTGTTTACTTTCACCATTATGATAATGGTTTAAATTTTTAAATGAATTAGAGAACTGATCATGCTATGTCAACATACAAGGTAGCATTGGTCTGTCATTATTGATGCAAGCAAATAGTTATATGACTTTTTTAATTACTCCTTCACTTGCTGGAACCAAATGCGATTAGCATTTGTCACCAATATAAACCATGGTAAGATCTGTATATCCATGCCATCCCAGGTGTCTGACCTGAGTCTCAATATTGCTGGCTGTTCAATGTTTGTAATTTATTATCAAAATCCCTTAAAGATATACTATGCTCAAATTTGATACTAGAAAAGATTAATAATTGCTGCACAGTCTCTTTGTACATATAAAATAAACATGTTTTGACATCACACAAAGTAGATATGTTATGTTTTTATATTTAAAATTCAACTACCTATAGGTGGCCACATAAAATAAACATGTTTTGACATCACACAAAGTAGATATGTTATATTTTTATATTTAAAATTCAACTACCTATAGGTGGCCACATAAAATAAACATGTTTTGACATCACACAAAGTAGATATGTTATGTTTTTATATTTAAAATTCAACTACCTATAGGTGGCCACAATATGAATATATAGTATCACAAAAAATTTGCAGTTTTTTTAAGAAAGGACCAATTTTACTTGCCTATAATGGGAAAAGCAGCTTTCCATACAAAGTTTATTCAGTCTTTTATTCAAATAAGACATATTCAGTAAGAATTTCATAGATTTCAATAAATTTCTGTGGGTACAATATTTTATTCAAGGATGAGCATAGTACATTTTTTGTATATCTTTAAATTTGGAATGGACTATACCAAATTCAAAGATGGGCAAGTCTATCATATAAATTCAGGAGGTTCAAGATGATGTAAACAGAAGATACAAATTATATAACATACTTGGCATGGAAGTGGTACAGTATATTGTACATGACAGGATGTGAGATATACAGGTCTCTCTTCATAAACTCCCTCACTTCATTTACTCTCTCATGCCACGGAAACCCAAGTCTGCCAGCAGAATTGGACGGCTGTAATATAAAAACATGGTACTTGTTACTATATATAGTAACAAAATTGCCTATCATTTCAAATCATTACGAGTGTCATGTGACCGATTATGAGTCTGTGGCCCTCGGGCAAAAAGTTGAAAAACTCATTATCATAATCGGCCCATTGAACACGAGTACGTGCACAAAATAAAACCATGACGTCACATTTTACATCATCAATACATCTAGCTGTAAAAGTTAAAGCAGGTTTCAAGCACAAATGCTTGATTTTATGATGAGAACTAAAGTGTAATTTGTACAAACATACAGTTTTATTGAAATTTAAAGAGAAAAAAAATACTACAACTTTGAGAAAATAAATGGCTGCTTGAGTAATCTTTTTAATTTTTATTTTAAAAAGGGCAAGAGATTTTAAAACTTATAACTTTGTACAAAATGTGTTTGATAATAAAATTTATTTACAAGTTCCTTGACCCCCAAAATTTAAAAAACATAATTTAAAAGTTCTTTTCCTGTTCTTTTCCCTGTTTGTTTTTTTTACGTTGATTTCATCATATATTGGTGGTGGGTGCACCTAACCACATTTCCCAGATAACTAACCAGTAATTACTTTAATCTCCTGCAAGTGGCTCAAAGTCAAATTGGGCATAGCATGGAACAGCTGTCTTAGAGCAAAATAGGAATCCATTCATGTCCCCTACATATCAAATATCTAAGAGGTGGTATGTAAACATGATGGTTGAATGGTAGGGCAATCTGGGAACTACACATATGCTTAAAAAAAATGCTTTGCAGATTTTTTTTTCTTTTTTAAATTAAAAAAAATGCTTTTGACATGTCATTGTATAATACAGAAATGACATTAGACAACAAACCTTTGGAGGTATCGGAACACCAAGTCTCGTTTGCTCTTTCTCGTCTAGAAGTATATAATCCATGATAGCTTTCTTTATTGCAAA